TTGTGGCCCTCTTCGAGTCTGGTTAAGCCATGGCAGAAGCTGTCTTGAACCATCATCGGCTATCTTGAGCCGCCTTTGAGGCCATTTCGGAGCATCGGAGGCCCACTAGGAGCCATCTTACGCGAAAAACGAACCCCTGACACCTCGCGGACTTCCCGAAACAATCTCAGGGAGGGGAGGGGGATACCCCCCCCGAAGGGAAGAGGTCTTTTTTGGAAGAGGAAAGAGGAAGAACTCGTTAGATCACCTTCGCCCAAAAGGCTGGTGAGACTTGTTTTTGGTGCTCGTTGTCGAGATATCCTGAGGGGGCGGGCTCCCTAGAGGATCCCATCTGCCGTGTAGGCACTTTGTCGGGGCCGTTTTGGGCGATGCTCGTTTCGTCTGGGCTCCTTCTTGAGCCATCCTGATGCGACACTGGACCCGTTTTCGAGTAGTGTTGGGGCCGTCTTGGGCTGACTTAGGGACATCTTGGTTTGTCTGGAGGCCACCTTGGAGCTACCTTGTGACCGTCTTGGGAAACATGGCACAACATACACACGCGGGGTCGTTTCCCAACGGAGTGTTACGTGGTTCGCGTGGTTTCCATTGTCCTGGAGTTGCGGGGAGTTTCTGGATAGCTCGGCGGATCATTTCTTCGAGGCCAGGGTGTACCGATAACTTTCGCTGTGGGAGCCAATCTCTGATGGTCATGCACCATTTGACTACCCCTCACCATTTGGGAGGGGACCTACGTGAAGAAGGGGGGTCCTTCCAAGTTCTGCTTAGCGGCCCTCAGGCGCTTGACTACTCCCACCTGATGCCCGTCCGCCCACCACGCAGCACCCCTACGGATGCGCACCCAGGAAAGGAGAACTGAGGTCCATTCAGGTAGTTGTTGTAGGGATATGCTATTTTAGTGTTGAGGTTCCAAGCGAAGCCGCATATCGTCATCCCGACTGCAAAGGTATGAACCACAGTTAGGTCGAAGGGAGGCCTAAGTGAGGGCAGGACACTGAACTGATGCCGATCGCTGGAACGTCGGTGGCGGACGCGGCAACTACGGTTCCTCCCTCCCTCGTCTTCCTTTCTCTCGTGCGTCCTTGCGAATGGTAATCGGCTGCTGCGACTTAAGGTAGTTGCTCGCCCACGGGGGGACCAGTGCATTAATTGGTTTGTGTTCTCCAAATTCAGCCACGGCGCTCAAGCAAGGACCGCTTTGGGCCCAGGAGGGGCTCGAGCTCTCGGGCCGTGAAGCCGATGCCTGCAGGGCCCTTGCCGATCCGATCGAGCCTGTTCGACATCGTTTTCGGCCGGCCCGATCCGATCCGACTCGATCCCGACTCTCGGGGGATCCCATGCGGCCCGCTGCACGCACGGCGCTGTGATTCCTCCCGGCGCTGCCGATGCGATTCGATTCCGCTCCCGCGCTGCTGCGGCCCGATCCGACGCACCGTTCTCGGCGGTTCGAGGATGGGGTCCTGAGGGCTGGGGCCCTACTGGGGTCCTAAAGGCCAGGATCCAGGAAGGGGCCCAAGGGTGAACTCACGCTGTTTGAGGCACCTCGTCCCCACGGCCCCATCCCGAAGGGCCCCAGCTCTGGACCACCAACCCTTCGGGTGCGATCCGAACTGCCGCTTCCATGCCGGCCGTGCCTCTGCGCACGGGACTAGTAGGTCGACCCCGCCAGCTCAAGGGTACCCTTGTGTCCTGAGCCTCGCGACGCGTGCCTTCTTACACTCCTGCGGCGATGTGGCCCTCGACAGGGTCTTATGTGTCCTCTCGCGTGCCCTGTCCACTCAGGGCCGACCGGACGACCCCGCCCCGAAGGACCCCAGCTCTGAACCACCAGCCCTTCGCTGCGATCCGACCCGCCGCTTCCATGCTTCTGCACGCCCGAAATGGGTACTGAAAGAATGGGTGGTGCACAGACCCTCTGGGCCCCCGGCTCGCCGTGGCCAGGCCCGGTGGTGACGTGGGCCTGGGCCCCCGACGTCGTGGCGTTGCTCGCAGCGTGGGCTCCCGGAGGTGCCGACTCCCTCCCGGGACGGGTCTCTCGAGGCCTCCCAGCAGAGCCTCTGCACGCCCGAAATGGGTACGGAAAGGACGGGCACCATGCCCAGCAGCAGTTCCTGTTCCTTGTGCACAGGGCTCGCTGTCCGCGCCGCCGCGGCCTGCGTCCACTCGAGAGAGAGAGAGAGAGAGAGAGGGCCGCCCGCGCAACAGCGGCCGCTGGTGGTCTGGGACAACACTTGCTGTTGGGCACTGTGCCCATGTTTTCCGTGCCCATTTCGGGCGCCCAAAAGAGCAGATAGGGGTCGGAAGATCGCTCCGCATCGCCGGTGCATCGGCGATGCGGCTCGAGGTGGAGCCCGTGTTTCCGGACAGGGCGGTTACGCCGTCGGGGGCCTCTCGCCCATCTATCGGCGATGCAGCTCCGATTCCAGCTCAATGTCCCCCCTTTGGGCCAGTCCTTCATGGGTCCCGGGGACGGCAGGGCCGTTTTTGGGCCGTTTTCCGTACCCCTTTCGGGCGTCCAAAAGTGCTGGCGCCGTGCCTCGGCGCACGGGCCTCGGCTCTCCCGAGAGCGAGAGCGCGCCGCCGCCCGTGGGCGCCGCCCGTGGGCGCCGGCGCCGGCGGCGGGGCTCCCGTGGCCCAACCGCCGGGCCGCCGCCGCCCCCTGCAGGCGCCGCGCGGGCGCCTCGGGGCGCCGGGCGGGGCGCCCTCGGGGGCGGCAGGGGGGGGGGGATAGGGCGACGACATCTATGCATATCCACTGCTGCTGGCCAGGCTCATCCGGGGCCCAGGAGTAGTGTATACGACCTCCTGGTTTGGCCAAAGAGGCGTATACAGTATTCCTGGCCCCAGGATGGGCCTGGCTTGCAGCAGTGGATATGTATAAATCTCGTCGCCCTAGGGGAGCGAGGCAGACCAGCCATTTCTCGGGGAGCACGGGTCTGGGGGAGCCGGGGGCGCCCCCGGGGGAGCACGGGTCTGGGGGAGCTGGGGGCGCCCTCCCGGAGGAGATGCCTCCTTTCTCTAGTCTCAGGCAGTTGCACCTGAGACTTTGTACTGTTGTGATGCTGCAGGGTAGCAGCGCTGGCCCTCGGAGGGCCAGGGAGGGGGGGGGGCATCGTGGCGGGGGCCGCTTCCTGTTCGCGAGCGCGAGCGGAGGAGCCGAACGCGCCGTCAGGAGATTGCCGACTAGCAGCGACCTAGATTACAGCGGCCTAACACGGAGCCGAACGCGCGCAGCTGACAAGCGGCGGGAAAAACTGCAACCTAAGCGGCGGGGGCGGGCTCAACCGCAGCTCAGAAGGACCAGGCGAGGACCCGTTAGTGGCGGGGGCCACGCGATCTCCCCAGATTTCACGACGCCTCTTCTTACTTCACAATGCGTCCTTGCCCCCCCCCCCCGCCCTGGGCTGCGCACATGCCGCCGGCCATGATTTTGCGCCCCCCCCCCCCCCCTCTTGGACGCCCTCCCCTTGGCCGCCTCCAATTCCCAGTTTTGGTGCCTGGGCTGGAGCCAAACGGTTCTTTGGCGATTTCTGGGGCCGGTTTCGTTTTGCTTTCGTTTCGCAGCAGAGACAGAACGAAGACAGAACGAAGGAAAGCGAACGCAAAACGAACACGACTTTTGGGTGCCATCTCCTCCGCTCCTGCCTTGATAATCTGGGGTCCAGCACGCTCACTCTTGAGCGACGCTTTCACTTGCCCCGCCTGGCCTCCAGAGGCATCGCCAGGAACACACCTCCCCAAAGCCCCCCTCCCTTGAAAACAGGGGGATGCGCGTGCTGGGTCCGAGGCCGTCGCTGCCGCTCTGGCTCAAGGTTCTGGCGTTTGCGCTCCACCCCTCCAGCTTCGATCCGCAGAAGGCATCTACGCTCGATGGTCCTCAGGACGTGTGTTAGCCCAGTGAGTGCTTGCCCCCTGCAGCCCCTCCGGTGCATCATTACGTCGCCTGCGTCGTGTGTTGAATGGTCTCGATGGACAGGCACACGTTGGCGCTAACACACCTTCTGAGGTTCATCGACACGCTCGCACCACCACAACGACTGGCAGGGGCCATCCTGGGCCCCAGGGTGGTTCACAGACCTTCTGGGCCCCTGGCTCGCCGTGGCTGGGCTCGGTGGTGACGTGAGCCTGGGCCCCCGACGTCGTGGCGTTGCTCGCAGCGTGGGCTCCCGGAGGTGCCGACTCCTTCCCGGGACCGGTCTTTCTAGGCCTCCCAGATGGGGTCAGAGCTCTGGACGCCCGAAATGGGTACGGAAAGGATGGGCACAATGCCCAACAGCAGATCCTGTTCATTCTGAACAGGACTCGCTGTCCGCGCCGCCGCGGCCTGTGTCCATTCGAGACAGGAGGCCGCCCGCCCAACAGCGGCCGCTGTTGGTTTGGGACAACATTTGTTGTTGGGCATTGTGCCCATTTTTTCGGTACCCATTTCGGGCGTCCAAAAGAGCAGATAGGGGTCGGAAGATCGCTCCGCATCGCCGGTGCATCGGCGATGCGGCTCGATGTGGAGCCCGTGTTTCCGGACAGGGCGGTTACGCCGTCGGGGGCCTCTCGCCCATCTATCGGCGATGCAGATCCGATTCCAGCTCAATGTCCCCCCTTTGGTCCAGTCCTTCATGGGCCCCGGGGACGGCAGGGCCGTTTTTGGGCCGTTTTCAAAAGGTTATCTTTGAAGCGCGACGACGTAAGAGCATGGCACGCGGAAGCGGGACGAGAATGGTTCCAGGATTGGCCGCGCCCGGCTCGCAAATTGTCGACATGGCCTTCTAAGGACCTTGCATCCTCTTCGTGCATTCGTATGATGCGGGCCGACTGTAACTCCGTTCCAGAGCGTTCCGGAACGCTCTCAGAGCGTTCCGGAATGCTCTGAGGAGGCCGCGGCGCCCAGGACATCCTCCAGACCCGCCGCGTCTCAGAGAGTCTCGAGATCTACCCTCGCCCGACTTTCTCCTCGTCCTGAGGCTTCGTCTCGCGCGTTCCCCCTTTTCCCGCTCCCTCTCGCGGCGATGGCGGCCCCCCGCTTCGCGGCCCTGACCGCCGCCGTGCTGCTCTCCTGCGGCGCCCTCCTCACCGCCTTCGTGGCCGCGCCGGCCGCCCGCCCCGCCGCGGTGTCCCCCGCGGCGCTGGGCGGCGCGGCGCTGGCGGCGCCCCTGGCGGCGCACGCGGAGGGCGACGGCGTCTGGATCCCGGCCCGCGGCGGGCGCCAGCTGCATGCCCAGCCCCCTGGGGCGAGCGCTGCCGGGAGGGCGGCCCAAGTGGGGGGGTGAAGAAGAGGGCCCGAAAGGGGCCCTTCAGAGGGCCTCTTTTGGGCTCCTGCGGGCTCCAAAAGGGGCCCTGAAGGGGCCCTTTGGAGCCCTTTTCTTCACCTCCCCTTGGGGTCACCCCCCGGCAGCGCCCGCCCAGACCCCCTCGCGTCGTGGGAAGAGTTATGGCGGGCGGCTCTGGGCCATTTTTTCCGAGGAGGAGATCGACGACAGGATCGACAGAGCTACCCCACACTTGGAATGTTCGTCGGGGATCTGCGAGAAATCCGCAGAGTGTCCGTAGATCTACGAACGTTCTGCATAGAACTTTCGTGGATCTACCGGCATTCTACGTACTGTTCGTAGATCCGACGGAAAAAATACTCACTGCGTGGAGCTCCCCATATGTGCATCTCATGTTTTATGTCATGCCGTGGTGAGCGTCTGTTCATGAGCGGTCGACTACAATAGCGCGTCCACGTGGGCGACAGGGCCGACGAAGACGAGTGACCCTTAATGCGAGCGATTGCGTGCGAGTCAGAGTGAGCTTTGAGTATGGTTGAATGCGAGCCTCTTCCTCTTCATCCCCCCTCCTCAGCTGCCAGGCCTTCCCCTTGTCAGCCCGTGGTAGCTTTGGAGCTTCCCATATGTGCATATGTTTTAGGATAGTTGGCAGTGGGATATGTAAGACGACCTGTCATTTCCCTCGCTCACGCCATCCTCCTCGTCGTCCTCAATCTCTTAGACATCATCCTCCTCATCCTTGTCGTCATCCTTCACCTCATCGTCCTGATCCCCTTGCTTCCTCCCCCAGTCCTCCTCCTCCTCCTCCTCCTCCTTCTCCTCTTCCTCCCCCTCTTCCTCCTCAACCCTGGTTCCCCAGGGCGCGTTTCACCACTTTTGGAGGCGCAGCCCCGCCGGCGATGTTGGGCATGAAAACGAGCAAACCGCCTGAGACATCCCCACAAACTGACCGCGAACGAGCCCGTGCAACCACCCCTGGCGGCTCCCCTTAGGGGTGCTGAAACCAGCGCCCCGCCTGAGACATCCTCACAATCTGCTCTCCAAGCGAAGGATGTTGAGCCCAGAAACAGGCGAACCGCCTGAGACATCCCCACAAAATGGCCGCGAACGAGCCCGTGCAAACACCCCTGGCGGCTCCCCTTAGGGGTGCTGAAACCAGCGCCCCGCCTGAGACATCCTCACAATCTGCTCTCCAAGCGAAGGATGTTGAGCCCAGAAACAAGCAAACCGCCTGAGACATCCCCACAAAATGGCCGCGAACGAGCCCGTGCAAACACCCCTGGCGGCTCCCCTTAGGGGTGCTGAAACCAGCGCCCCGCCTGAGACATCCTCACAATCTGCTCTCCAAGCGAAGGATGTTGGGCCCAGAAACAAGCAAACCGCCTGAGACATCCCCACAAAATGGCCGCGAACGAGCCCGTGCAACCACCCCTGGCGGCTCCCCTTAGGGGTGCTGAAACCAGCGCCCCGCCTGAGACATCCTCACAATCTGCTCTCCAAGCGAAGGATGTTGAGCCCAGAAACAAGCAAACCGCCTGAGACATCCCCACAAAATGGCCGCGAACGAGCCCGTGCAACCACCCCTGGCGGCTCCCCTTAGGGGTGCTGAAACCAGCGCCCCGCCTGAGACATCCTCACAATCTGCTCTCCAAGCGAAGGATGTTGAGCCCAGAAACAAGCAAACCGCCTGAGACATCCCCACAAAATGGCCGCGAACGAGCCCGTGCAACCACCCCTGGCGGCTCCCCTTAGGGGTGCTGAAACCAGCGCCCCGCCTGAGACATCCTCACAATCTGCTCTCCAAGCGAAGGATGTTGAGCCCAGAAACAAGCAAACCGCCTGAGACATCCCATCAAAATGGCCGCGAACGAGCCCGTGCAACCACCCTTGGCGGCTCCCCTTAGGGGTGCTGAAACCAGCGCCCCGCCTGAGACATCCTCACAATCTGCTCTCCAAGCGAAGGATGTTGAACCCAGAAACAGGCAAACCGCTTGAGACATCCCCACAAAATGGCCGCGAACGAGCCCGTGCAACCACCCCTGGCGGCTCCCCTTTGGGGTGCTGAAGCCAGCGCCCCGCTTGAGACATCCTCCAAATCTGATGTGTTTTGAGTAAGTCTGAGTATGAGTAGGTCTGAGTATGAGTATGCCTGAGTATGAGTAAGTCTGTGTATGAGGTAGTCTGTGTATGAGTAAGTCTGGGTATGAGTAGGTCTGTGTATGAGAAAGTCTGTGTATGTGTACGTCTGGGTATGAGTAAGTCTGAGTGTGAGTAATACTGTGTATGAGTAAGTCTGGTATGAGTAAGTCTGTGTATGAGTACGTCTTGGTGTGAGTAAGTCTGTGTATGAGTAAGTCTGTGTATGAGTATGTCTGAGTGTGAGTAAGTCTGAGTATGAGTAGGTCTGAGTATGAGTAAGTCTGAGTATGAGTAAGTCTGAGTATGAGGAGGGGAGGAGGAAAGAGGAGGAGGGAGAGGCAGTAGGAGGCGTCCAAGTAATAACAATAACCCCATCTTAGGATATGGGGAACAAGCAGGGCTGGACCTAAATGGTGTTTTGGCGATTTCGTGGGCCGTTTTCGTTTCGACTTCGTTTTGTGGTAAAGACGGATTGAAGACAAAACGACGGAAAACGAAAACAAAACGAAAACGAACAACACCGTTTAGGTTCAGCCCTGAAGACAAGTGTGGGGCAACTCAATTCTGCCGTCGATCTCCTGCTCGAATCTTCGGGCTCTCGGGGCCCTCGCTGGGCCCTGGGGCCGCCAGAAAACGCCTCAGAGTGATCAGCCTTTGAGGACAGAGGCCTTTGAGGATCGACGCTGCGGCAGAGTCGCGCCAGCGGGCGCCATCTGCCCGCAGGGCGTGGCCCAGCCCACAGCCTCCTGTGCCCCGTGGGGGTCGGTGCGCGTGCGTGCGTGCGTGTCCCTGAGATCCAGATCCCGACATCGCAATTTTTCGAGCCGGGCGGTTTCGCGTTCTGTCGGGCCCTGGGGCCCTCACAGATCGAAACGGCTCGAAACATGAAGCAGAAAGATGGAGTCTAGGGCTACGTCGGATCCCATGTATGTATGTGTGTGTGTCGAGTGTGCGTGCGTGCGTGCGTGCGTGCGTGCGTGCGTGCGTGCGTGCGTGCGTTTAGTGTGTGTGTGTGTGTGCGTGTGTGTGTGTGTGTGTGTGTGTGTGTGTGTGTGTGTGTGTGTGTGTGTGAGAGAGTTCTGTGCTGCGCCTCCTCACGAGGGGGCTTACTCGATGCACTTGTGGCTCGTGCTCCGTGGCTTGGACTCAGCCGCGCGTGCCATGAACATGTGTGTGTTTGTGTTTGTGTGCGTGTAAGTGTAAAAGTGTGTTTGTGTGTGGAAGTGTGAAAGTGTGTGCGTGCGTGCGTGCGTGCGTGCGTGCGTGCGTGCGTGCGTGCGTGCGTGTGTGTGTGTGTGTGTGTGTGTGTGTGTGTGTGTGTGTGTGAGTTCTTTGCTGCGCCTCCTCACGAGGGGGCTTACTCGATGCACTTGTGGCCTGTGCTCCGTGGCTTGGACTCAGCCGCGCGTGCCATGAGAGTGTGTGTGTGTGTGTTTAAGTATGTTTGTGCGTGAAAGTGTGAAAGTGTGTGTGTGTGTGTGTGTCTGTGTGTGTTTGTGCGTGTCTGTGTGTGTGCGCCCTGCTGGGCCTCGGCCAGGATGGCGTGTTCGCACCGATCCTGGGCCTGGGAGGATGGGCCTGGCCAGGGCCTCGGTATCGCTCGGACGTGTGCGTTTTTTTCGGCGGGGGCCACCGAGGAGCAGCTGGGATCATAGAAGCGCACGAAGTCGACAAATGCACGGGGCATGGACGTCTGAGCGATGGCAAGGGGCGGGGCGTGGTGTGCAGACGGCGTCTGCCCCCACCCAGGCCCTCTCGGCCGTCGGCGCCGGCTTCGCCATCGGGCTGGCGGCCATCGGCTCCGGGGTCGGCCAGGGCATCGCGTCGGGGCGGTGCATCGACGGCATCAGCCGCCAGCCCGAGGTGTCGAAGGATCAAAAGCGGCACAAACATCAATTTTCGGAGCTCCGCGCGGATGTCTCGGATCGGCGCCCTGGCCCTTCTGGCGGCGCCTCCGGCGCCGCCCCAGGGGCGGCCAGCGCAGATCGCAGAAGTCCGCGCGGCCCTCCGAAAGCTTCTGTTTGTGCCGTCTTGTCTTCCTCATCTGCAGGTGGCGGACGACTTGCGCGGGGTGCTCCTGCTGTCCCTCGCGTTCATGGAGTCGCTGACGATCTACGGGCTCGTGATCGCGCTGGTGCTGCTGTTCGCGAACCCGCTCATCAAGTGAGCCCCATGCCAGGGGGGGAGGCGTGCAGCAGGGGGCCCACTCTTGACCGCCACGCCTTGCCAGGGCCACCCTGGGCCCTGGGCTGGTGCGCAGACCCTCCGGGCCTCGGGCCGGGAGGGCGTACGTATATGGCAGGCTCGTGCCGTGTCCATGCGGCTGCGGCCCCAGCGCGGGCGCTCGAGGTTGGACGCCGCGGGTGGCCCAGCATCGGCCAGTGCGGAAGGGCCTGGCGACCGCAGGGCCGCCGATCGTGGAGGGCTGCACGGCCCGTGCGGTGTCGGAGACCAACGCTGGGGGTCGTCGCGACACAAGCCTGCCGGACACCACGCCAGGGCCCCCGATGTTCGGTATCGTTTGACCAATCCCCATCCCCATCCCCATCCCCTTCGAGACCCCCGCAAAATTACCACCCCAACTGGGGACACCCCTCGAAACCCGAAGGGAACGGCTTCTGAAATCGTCATTTGGGGGAGTAAATCGGCCAGTGTGGGGCCCAGGCCACGCCACTGGGGATGGGGATCGGTTAAACGATACTCAGATGTCCCTGCCCACGCGCGGTGGTGACGTGCGGGCGAAGTGGGGTCGGCTCCGGCGGGGGCCGCCTGTGCAGTTTTCAGCACGAGCCAGGCGAGCGCAGGAAAAGGTATACGGCGCACGTGATCCGTATCCTCCCGCGCGTTTCCAGCGTTTCTTGGGGCTCCTTGTCCAAGCTCTGCCAAAAGGCCTGTGTTGTTCATCGCCGCGCCGCAGGCGTCTCAATCAGGGGGCTCAGGAGGACGAGGTCTTGCATCGCAACGCAATGAGCCTGCGGCCTTTGGGACCGCACCTCAGGAGTGGAGAGTTCGATAAACCGACTCGGGATCGAGAGTTCAAATTTTCACCAACCTGCAGAAGCACTCCAACTCCTGCGTTTCCACTCCTCGAGAGTTGAATTACATCTGCAGCTTGTTATACATCAGGGGAGCCCGTGGGATCTTGAATTGACAAGCGCTGCGGCTGCGGAAAGGCGTCGGTAGTCCAGGTCATCGAATCCCAACCCTGGTTATGGCCTGGAAGGGTGTACCGCAGCTCTTCCAATTTGTTGTTTTGTTTATTTCTCCTCCTCCGTCTTCGGCTCTATGCACTTTGGTTCAAACACTTTCGTATTACGCCGCTTTGACCAAGCCGCATGGATCCAAGTCATTGTAGTTTGGCTGGAACCATGTAAGCTGAAAATTGCCGTCGTTGGTGCGCATCTTACAAAATCATGTGGAAGAGCTTCGCAGATGCGACACTTGCTCAGCAGGGGTCGTGAAGTTCTCGAGGAGAGTACCTCTGGCTTTGCCTAGTGCGAACGCATGTGCTGGCATCGCGCATAAAGCTGCAATTTCGCCATGGTGTGTCACCTCCTTGACAGCAGCGACCCGTTGCGCGGTGAATGTTCAGTTAAGGTCAGATCATTCCCTTGCTTCGCTCGAGAAACAGCTGGATGATCTCCAAATGCATGAGGGCTCATCCGTGGACTCACTTCCTGTAGCCCACAGTGTTGCTGTCGATGGACGCGCGCAGTCTTGCCCTTCTCGCGCACAGTCCATGGCGATGTTTCCAGAGCCTGCCCAGGATTTACTCGCATACTGTGTTGATTGTTTGACGGAGATGGATGTATTTACTCTGACCCTGAATTCGGTCGCCGCTCCCTGACGATGGAGCAGGGTGCACAACATGTAAAGGTTCTATTTCTCTTCCGGAATCTTGTCGGTGGCGGTCTATATTTTGGAAATGCGAAGACGGGGTGTGCGCGATCCGCGTTTGTTTGGAGGGTTGATGGTGAGGCTGGGCGTGGCGCATCCGAGTGACTGTCGCAGAAGTCTTTGACTGAGCATGAGCAATCAGTAGTCAGATCTTCAAGGGCCACCCGAACAGGCGGAGGACAGACCGTCGCTCGCCACGTCGTTGCGGGAGCGGAGACGTGTGGATCCACTTTGCCTTGTGGTGAAGGGTTGGAGCTACGTGGCTGGTTTTTCCGATGCAGAGGGGTGCATCCACGTGTCATCTGCGCGAGGAATGATCAGTCTCGACATCAATCAGAAGCATAAGAAATTGCTTTTGGCCATACATACGCTTATGACGCGTATCTTTGGGATGAGTCAGTCGCCATCGATTCGCATATATACTGTTCGTGACGGCACGGCGCACGCGTTCCGAGTAATTGGGAACATTTGTCTCGACGTTTTGAAGAACATGCTGGAGGCGGGACTCCGTGTGAAACGCGCACAGGCAAACTTAGCCGTGAACTAGACTGTCAGCAATTACATGCAATTGCGCGAAGAGCTTGCCACGTTGAAGGGGAATCAGCCGCGCTTCTTTGCTCTGGATGCAGAGGGGTGCCGCAGAGCCGGAAGCGATAGGCTCGCACGCGACCGTATGAAAAGGCGGCAAGAGAGAGAAGATTTCTGTGACAATCGATCTTTACGGGCAGATCTGGAATTGCAGCGGCGTGTCTGCAAAAGTAGCAACCCACAGAAGCGCACGGTACGGCTGCGCGGCGGAGCTTGTTCAACGTTGAAACAAGGTGCCGTGCGACCATTGCTTATCCTTGTGGAGCACGTTCATACGAGTTTGGTGTTCATTTACCCTTCATCTCTGAGTGGTCAGTTGCGTAATCTCTGGGGGGCGCCAATTATCTGTATCTTATACACCAATCCTGCCCAGGCTAGATTCTGGTTCCAGGCCCCATGGATACGCCTTCCTTGTTATGCCAGGGCTTAGTGGGCCCTGGAAACGACAGGGCCGTTTTTGTTACCGGTTCCGTTTTGCCGTTTTTTGCCGGTTCCGACGCCGTTTTCTTCACCGGTTCCGTCGCCGTTCTTTTACCGGTTCCCGCTCCGGTTCCGATCCTGGAGCCGTTTTTGTTGCCGTTTCCGATCGCCGTTTTTTTGCCGTTTCGGAAACGATGAAAAAGCGGCCCTGCCGTTTCCGGGCCCACCAAGTACCAGGGGGTATTATCCGATTGTGGCCAAGGATTTGCCGGCCAGGATCGGTGTAAGTACTGTTGGCGTGCTCCGCGACGCCTCTGTCTCTTTCTCCGTAAATTCCATCCCCCGACCGTCCTGGATCGCAATCTGACCAGGATTCCGTTGCGGATCCAGCCGTGGCAACGAAGCCCCCTCAGGATGCCCCAAACATACCGATGCGTTCTGATCTGGATTTCGAGGCGGATCCCGCCGTCGCGACGAGGGCCTCCGGGAGGTATTCCCCAAATGCTATGCTGTGAGCTATGTGGTGCAATATATGTAGAGCTCACGTGGTCATTTACGCGGCGTGAGTAATGTGGCGTAAGCTATGTTTTGCAATCTATGTAGTTCGACTTACGCGGTGCGAACTATGAAGTGCAATATATGTGGTGCAACCTATATTGTGTCAGCTCAGTGATGCACTCGATGTGCTACATCATATGTGGTGCAATCTGTGGTGTAAGCCATTTTGTGCAAACTATTTTAAGCAATGTGTGTGGTTTGAGCTTTGTGGTGTGGTGTAGCATATGTCGTACAGTTTATTTGGTGCAACCAGCGTGGTGCAATCTAGGTGGTGTAAGTTATATGGTGCAGTTCATGTTAAGCTAATTATTTGGGTGGTGTAGGCGATGTGGTACCATCCATGTGGTGTCAGCTATGTGGTGTAGGCTATGCAGTGCTACGTGTTGTAAGCCACGTAGTGCAATGTGATATAGGTGGTGCAATCTATGTGGTGCAATTCACTTGCCGAACTTGAAGTGGTCAACTCCACTGCTCGCGCAAATCCCACATACCCACCCACCCACAACTTGGTTTGCAGAACCCATGCGGGAACAATTGCGATGAGTGCTGGGTGTTGGCTGGTACATCTTTGCGGCCGCGCGAGCCCGCAACGACTGCGACGACACCGACGACGTCTCCAACGACTTCGACGACGCCGACAACGACGACGACGACGACGACGACGACACCGACGACGATGACGACGACGCCGACGCCGACGATGACGACGACGATGACAACGACGACGACGGTGACGACGCCGACGACGACAACGACGACGACACCGACGACGACGACGACGACGACGACAACGACGCCGACTACGACGACAACGACGACGACGACGGCGGTGACGACGATGACGCCGACGTCGACGACGACGAAGACGACGCCGCCGACGCCGCTGACGACGACGAAGACGACGACGACGTCGCCAACGAAGACGACGACGAGGGAGGAGGGAGGACGACGATGGCGACAACGACGCCGACGACGACAACGACGAGGGAGGAGGGAGGACGGCGACGACGCGAATGACGATGAAGGAGGAAGGACGGCGACGCCGACGACGACAACGACGAGGGAGGAGGGAAGACGACGACGACGATAACGACGACGACGACGACGACGACGGCGAGGAAATAGGAGGGACGACGACGAGACGCCGACGACGCACGACGACGACGACGAGGGAGGAGCAGGAAGGACGACCACGGCGACAACAACGACGGAAACGACCACGACGCCGAAGAGGACGACGACGAACACGAGGAAAGACAGAGGACGACGTAGGCGACGACAACGACGACGACGCGGGAGGAGGGAGGACGGCGACGACGACGACGACGACGCAAGAGCGTGCGCGCACGCTTTTGTTGCAAATCCGTGTTGCGACACCTTGTGTTTTTGTATGTTTTTTTTGGACACGATTTTGAAATCCTTCCGAAACCGATGGGTTTTGAAGGACTTCGGCATACGCGCGCGACGACGCGCGCGTCTGCACTTCGTCCCATTTGTTGCAGAGGATTCTCGCGACGGCACACGCGCAAAGGCGTTCGACAGATTTCGACATGCGCGCGCGAAGCCCGTTTGGTAGCATGTTGTGAAATTCTTGGAAAACTTATGGCTTATTTAAGATTTCGCAAGAGCTCGCGCGTAAGCTTTTTTAGCAAATCAGTGTTGGGAAACCCTGCGTTTTTGTATGTTTTTGGATACTCGATTGCG